GCCTAATAAGGACACCGTATATAGAGTAGAGTACGCGTATGCGTGTACAGGGCATCTCGCGTATCTCGTGCACACAGGTATCTAGGTTTATGCGAGCGCTTCGGCGGTTATTGCTTCGCTGATAAGCAGATTCGTGTGAATGAATTACCTCTGCCTTTTTGATGCTCCCCAAAATTAATTATCTTGATTGTGCATTATTTGTGTGCGCTTCTATGGTACACGGGAATCCGGGGATACAGTCCCCACGACCACCCAGTACGAGCTCAACCATTGAATCGGGTGAAAAGGCCCCCACTCGCAAATGAGAGTACGACTCCTACCTCACACTATAGTCGTGAGAACATCGTTCGATAAGAAGGTGCCCGACGGAGACAAGTCCTCCTTGCTGTAGGATATATACTATATATACGTTTATCTGGAAGTGGCAGAGGTGTTGTCTTCGGTAGCATAGGCTGAGCTAAAGTAACCCAGAGAGCAAAAGTCATTGATGATTTTTATTTAGTGAGCTGCAACTTTGTTTTTGCTCCCTTTTCGTGCGGTTGATCCATTTATTGTCATCTGTGGTTAGAATTTTTCATGATGCTCAAATCGTGTTTTATTCTGCTTAGGATATTCTGGAAAGTCCAGATAATCCAATGTCAATACAAATATTAATGCTTGGGTAACAGTAGGGAGTTACTTTTTTGATAAAACAATTTTATAATCTATTTGTTACAGCTGGTTGATTGATTTAGAGACATTTTAAATTTGGTCTAAAAGAAGAGTAGTAACCTAATGAATGGCATTTGAAGTAGTACACTTTATTATTTCTAAAACAAATTTATTTTGTGTAGTGGTAAGTGATTATGTTGACGCAAAATAAATCTATATACGTTAATTTTTTAGGGGGAGGTGGGTATGACGTACCCAAAGAGCCCTCATCATTTAAAGCAACTTGAAATGTAATTCTTTTTTAATTGAATGCATGATAAAAATTTAAATGATAAGTGCTTAATTATTGTACATCAATCATAATGGTAAATTACACAAATTTATTTTCTCAAACATACGATATGTAATTACCGAAAAATCGTGACAATAACGTCAGCTTGGCCGCGTTCACAGTGGCGATAAACACAATGACAATCAGTGTCGTATGATATAAGGATGCTGAGCTGTTATGCATAAAAAGGAATACATGGAGTCATGATAATGTAATGTACATACAACGACTATAATAAAAAGCATTATAATTCAGTCACGTGAAAATCTGTAAGAGTCATAAATCACTTTCAAGTAAAAAACTACGAGCCATGCATAAACGGCTTAGGCAAAAATAAATATAATTATCATGTGAAATGATCAAATGGTTCATCTAGTCATTATATCTATGCTTGTTTACATGAGAATTCATTAGGATATTATACCAAACTAAAAAACAGATGGGCTGCTCATCAGTGGTTCTTGTTCTGTATAGAGTTCATAAATTTGTTTAGGTATTACTGGTTTTATATTTCTATTTTATTACTGCTAGTAAATAGCTGCATGAATAACTGATATGAAAACTCAAAAAGTAAAAAAGCGATTAATTTTTGATTTGGTACACTTATTTATATTAGTAGTAGCAAAATTTTTATAAAAAATTTAATTTTGTAAATGGTTTATGTTCGATGCACAAAACACGTTTTTCAAACTTGAAACATTTGCGAGTAAACTAATGCATATGAAATGTTGTAACACATCTTTTATTTCTGAAATAATGTAATTTTTTACAAATTGTCTATCGAGTGCGTGTATCGATTTATGCACCGGAAAAGAGATATTACGAAACAACGAAAAAAAAAAAAAAAATTTTCATGTTATTGTCGACAGCAAAAATAAAGCAGGACAATTTCTTAGCTAACTAAGTGTATTGTAATATCCACATAAATGTACCGATTTCTGCAGAGCAACTAGATCGAGACAAAAGAATCGTTTTACCAACTTTTTTTTGTCTAACGTCTAGGTCATACCCGAACGAGAGTTAGCGTATTGACTACGAGTATCTCTCAGGTGGCGCCACTAATGCTGGAGCTCTGTACAAAACTTGCCAACATGAAAGCATGTGGTATTAATCGGAACGGTTCTATTTTAATCACTTAAAATGATATTTTCATGTGATACTTTACGGAATCAGTACATATTACAAGAGATTGGTATACATTATTAAATACAAATTATTTTTGAGTGATTACTACATTTATTACGTTACAAAGTCAAAATTAATTTTATACTAGCCAGGCAAGGTTAGTCAGCTCATCGGATGTACCATATTTATAGGTGTTACTAATACGTGTTGTTTACCTGACGAGCTCCTTTACTCTTATGTTCTTGTTCTTCTGCCTATATATTTTTTCAATGAATTACTGTAATATCTTGTTGATAGTACTAGTATTATAAATTAACAAGTAAAAGTACAGTTTTAGTAAATTACAATAGGACCATTCCTATAAAATCCCATGCTTTCATGCTAGCTAATTTAATACTACGCTCCGGCATTGTTGGCGCTATCTGAGCTGTTCGCTCATAGTCAATACCATTATGCCCAAACGTACACTAACATATCTGGGTATGATCCACTACATAAGCACTAACTTCTAAAAATTATAATTACAAAAATAATGATAATCTGAATAATGATGCTTCAAACTATATCTGACGGGGTAAACTCAATATGTAAATATTTAATGCAATAACATTTTTATTGGAGGATTTAACAATAGTTATTGTTAAAGTAAATACACATTTGTTGACGTCTTGCATGATGTTGAGCAGCATATTTTAAAATGACGAGACAAATCTCATTCATAAATGATAATTTGTCTTTAGGATCAATATTGTGCACATACTGTAAAAGCTCTTGGAAGAACCGTTTATCTCCATCCATCTTCTTTTACTGTTGTTTGTTGTAGAATTGTCTGGAAAAAAATTAACATATACATGTGCCCTACACATAGTCTTTGAAAGGATAAGAGAACTGTGCCCTAGTACTTAAATATACTATATTTGTGCACGTAACTCGATAAATCTTACGAAATAATGTGAAAAAGAAATTGAAAAACGTTTGCTCGTCAGTGGATGAAATAAAGAGAAACAGCATTATTTATGTATACCGATTCTTAATTCAATTACTCTTTTTAACGCTCACGTACAATCTCACTCACATAGTGATTGTTTTTAATCTGATAAAAAAATTAGCTTTTCACCATAAGCCCACCCTCAAATTTAACGAATCGTATGTAAAAATATACTGCAGTTCAAAAGAAGACATAGAAACTCTGCACAAGCTGGAATTACTCACAGTTTTTTTCGTTGTTTTAGAGTAGTAATAAAAAAAACCACGTAGAAACACACTACACTCAATCTTCTTTTATATTGTTTTGTCAATATTCAATGTTTAGGACGTTCAGAGTGGTTGTTTCAGTATAAAGGTGCGGTCACATGAAGAGTATGGAATCCGCTACGTGCGATATGGGACTTTTCTGACAGTTAATGAAAGTTGAGCAGACTTTTCCATTCTATACTAAGAGCTAGGGCCAGATGGGTGGGTAAGTTGCGAAATCGACGCCAATTTGTAAAATATTGGGAAAACTCATGATTCATAGAGATTCTAAGTTTTTTACGATATCGATAAGGATCTATCATCGATAACGAGTTAAGTTGTTTCGAAAAAGGTCCCAGGGTGTCAAATAGCAAAATAGCCGCAATCTGGTCGAATGGATAGAGGATAAAAAGTTCTTATCTCCAAACTGCCAATCGCATGATCATCGAATTACTCAAGTGTAGCGTGATTATGAATTATAGTTATTTATACTTACCCATATTTTCAATTTACCTTGCAAAATACTGCGTTAATTTTCTCGACGTGTATTCTGAAAGTTGGGTTTGATTATTTTAATAAGAGCACATTTTTTAACATCTGTTGTTTTTTTTTTTTTTATTACTTCATTTTACCAGAGCGTATCGAAGCGTGTACCGTTATTACGATATTTTTAAGTTGCACGACTGTATTTGGCAACATCGTAGATACGAGGGACCAAAATTTATTAAAATTCTCTCATAGACAACTGTTTCGCAGATAACTGCACTTTATAAACTTGAAAGAGGTTGTCCAAAAATTTGTAAAATTATTGGGATATTGGTAAATTTTACCCGTTTGTTTCAGTAAAGACATGCTTTTCAGAACCTCGTTACATGTTTAAAATATATTTGAAATTCTGTTTGATGATTATAAGATGTTCCAACGGTAAAAGGTTCTAAAAGACAACCTTATACGTGTCGAACGACGCACCAACTCGATTGACTAATGTATAGATTTCAAAAAATTCAAGATATTCCTCAAGGCGACTTGTTATTAATTACTCAAGTATACGTGCAAAGTTTCAAAAGGCTATTTATTGCTCAGAAACAAATTGTAACCTACACAATAACGGAAGGCTAGACCAGAAACGAAAAAAATGTTAAAAGAACATGTCTTCCCGCTTAGCAATGTTTCTTTGAGTCTCGAGAATACATTTACGTTAATCGAGACTCAATATACCTTACACAGATTGATTCTACACAATGACATTTTTCAACGTAAAAAAATTTTGCACAAAAATACCCTGCGCAAGTATTTTGTACGTAATATTATTTATCTCAATAATATCTTGATATTCTATGGAATCAAGTTGGGGGGCGATTCAAAAAAGTAATGTTACACTGGCGTTTTTTCATTGAAACACATTATTTAAATTTCTTATTACATTTTTGTTAACACCTTTTCCAAAATATTGCCGACCTGTTATTTTCAAAGCGTCAACTACCTTTAATAAGATGACAGGTCTCAAATATACACCCCGAGCTTTGCTCTATCCGATATAACAGACAGATCGAATGAACAGTTTCCACGAAAACGAAATAACTTTATTTTTTCTCTTAATAATGAAAATTATTGTAGTGGCAATAAAGTCAAACGTTTCGTTATTTACCTTTGATTGCAGCGGCTGCATCGCAAAACGACTACCCACCCGTCGGCGGTGGAGTGCGCTCTGCCCACTGCAGCAGCGAGCCCCGGCTAACGGACAACGACGTCAGTCCCGGCTTGTCGAGGCACAAGCCCGGCCGTAGGGGCCAAAGCGTCTACCACGGGCACACGCATCGGAAAGTCAACGCTTACCTCGACGTGCCGGACGTCCAAGCGCCGGAGCAGCAGCAGCGCGCCGACGAGGATGACGATCTCTATCGGCTGAGGAGCTTTAGCCTCACCAGCAAAGGTGAGTTTGGTATTTATATGAATGTTTAGATATGGTCCTTTGGTAGTGTCCAAGTTTTGTTTCGCATTGGCAAAAGGATATTTTACGTTTGTGGTGGTATACAATGCGCATAGATATGTTTGTATTGTAAAGCGGACAAAGTGATGGTTTGGGCGAGTTGTTTCCCCCCGAAATGTCGCGACAAGCTCCATGAATGACCAGTTGGTTTAAAACTCGAACCAAATCTAATGTGAATTTTTGGGTGATATGCTTTCCGTACTCGGAATCCCACGTTTAGCTAGTTGTCATTGTTTTTAGCTTGATCAAGGCAACTCTGCGCCACAGCAGTTATTTTCCCTTTGGAGGAAGATAAATTGCTGGAAGAGAGATGGCACAAAAACACATCATCGGGCTAAAATAATGTTTTTTACTCTTTTCGGCATAAATTAATGTGTAAAATAATTAATTTTTCTTTAAAAGTGATCGAAAACAAGCTTCAATTTGGGGTCCATAGCAGAATTGAGAAAGTGAATGGAATCAAAAACTATTAATAATTTTAAAGTCTCGTAACAGAGCGGTTTTCGCTGGACGGTTAACCAGTGACAATATTATTCTAATAGTCAAGGGTTTGGTTCCTAGTAAATGCACTTGGATTTTTTCAGACACCTTTTCAACGGGAAAATTATATCTTAAACACCAGCTGTTTTAATGGGGGTTTTTTCTAGAATTTTCCTCAAAAGTACTTACGTAGAACATGGGTGGAATCGCAAGTCAGTGGTAGGTAAATAGGAATCACAAAAAGATATGACAGAAAAGTAAATAGTAATAAAAAGTGTTAGGTAAGCCAATGCTAGGTGACGTCGAATGGAAAAAATGGCCAAAATTCATACTTCATTCGAATTTTAGCTTAAAACAATTTTCGATAGCTTATTTTATTTTCCGGATCCCTGGAAAAATTAAAATTTTCTTAACGGGAGCCGGAAAAACGGCACTACGTTCTAATTTGATGCACCTTTCACTGGAGTGGAGAGTTTCAGTTGCACCGGCAAGGTGTGTTCATCTGAAGAAGATTATTACTTGAAAGTTATTCCAGTGAATGTACTAAAATAGTTAGGACAAGAAAACAGTGAGATAAAATTATTAGGTATTAGTTTAGCAAGTAGTGGAAAAACCTCATTTTGTTCATCATCGAGTGAAATACGGAATTTAAACTCATTTTTAAATGTAAAAATATACTGGAATCTTTTATTTCTTCTAATCCAATACTTTAATTTATCTCAATAAAGCTGAAATTAAAACAAAAGAATCCTTTGATTCTTAATTTGAACTAAGTTATAACTAAAAGTGTTAAATTTTTTTTTTTTTTTTTTTTAATTTTTTTTTTTATTGTGCGCGGTTATACTTTTTTCTTCCCCTTCGCGACTATTGGTCAATTAAAAGCTGGTCGCATCAGGCGAGGGCAAACGCAAGTAATTTCACTGAAAATAATGCACTTGCAATTCAAATAAGCAAAGAGGCCGGGCGGAGGGTAAGTATGCAGCAAGAAGAACAAAAATCCGAAGGAAAAAAGAAGATGTAGTGGAGGAGGAGGAGGAGAGACACAAAAAAAAAACAAAAAAAAAACAAAAAAAAAAAAAAAAAAAAAAAAAAAAAAAAAAAAAAAAAAAAA